AAGTGGTGCTGGCTCCTACCCTGGGGGTCTTTCAGAGGAGGTTAGACAAACACCTTGCTGGGGTCGTTTGACCCCAGTACTTTTCCTGCCAAGGCAAGGGGTCAGACTTGATGTTCTGCTTGGGTCCCATCTGACACTACAAACTATGAAACTATGACTCCAGGAAGATGACAGATGAAGGAGACTCTACTCTTAGGTGAAGGTCTAGTTCGTTCCCTGTATTCATATCTAGATTTGAATGGGCACCCAGAAACATTCAGATGAATCACTCACTGGGGTGACTGGTACAAGAAAGATCCATTAGGGCTTAACCAGTGAGAACTTAATATAGGAGACAGTCCTATTACTTGTACTATCCTTTTGTGCTGCTTGCAGATTCTCTCTGGGGGAAGAAAAGCCTGATGAGTCAGAGTCCTCAACTATACTTTTCAAGAGTGTGTGAACACATGCATACAGCTGCACAAAAATGAGAACCAGCAGAAGGTTAGGTATTTAAATAGCATTTGGCATAACTATGCCCTTTCCAATGCTTTGTCAGTCTCTTGTGACTAATGGCAATTGACTGAACCACTCCTGCTCATACTGTCAGAAGTCTGCAAACCCTTAGAGTTACAATATATTCACATAAATCTGAGGCAAAGCCAAGACTGATAAGGTCAGAAAAGGATGGCAGCCAGACTAACAATGCTGGATTAACTTTGAAAATTGATTTGCCATTGTTATTTGGCTGATAAGCTAGCGGCAGAAAGACCTTATGTTTGAAAACACAAATGAAATGGCTACTCAAACTGAAAATGGATCTCCACTTCGTATCTTGAAAAAAATACAAGCTGTTTCCAATCTGAATAATTTACAACGTGCTCGTTCATCTCTCATCTGTGAAGTCTGTGCAATTTTGACTATATACCAGGGAAACAAGTTGGAGTAGCATATAGAGAGCCTTTTCCTGGCATGGAGACATGCTAGGAGCAGAAGACTGAGTCAGGAGCAGGACAAAGCACAGAGAGTTATGGAGTTTAAGGACATCACTTCAGCCCACAGGAAAACCTAAAGAAGGTAAAGTAACTCAGACAGAACCCTTCCATCTTCCCCTGCCCCCTAAATAAAACTGGAGCTTCTTTAGCCCAAAGCAGACCAGAATCAGTAAGGCAAAAGGGTAGCTTAAAGACCTCTCTGTGCCTTTTTCCTCCCCTTCCTACCTATCACTCCCTTGTTTTTGTAACAGACCTAAGCTAAAACAATGCAGTTAGCCTTTAATGATAAAGCAAGCAACCAACAGAACCTCAAAGACAACAATACCTTTGATGAAGCCTTACTTTGTTCTTCAATATATTGTACATTTTAGTGTTACACATACTTTTTTAATTTCATGGTAAACAGAAGGCATATATCTTCTTTAAAACTGTATATTTAAAATATTTTAAAATAAGTGTTGTATAATAAATTTGTAGCTGTGATTTTTTTTCGCATACATACCTCTGATTCTTTATCACTTAGAGATCCCAAACTTCCAAAACTATGATTAGAGCTTTCATTATTGGTTGAGGCCTAGTGAAAAAGGACAAATAAATATGCTCAAATGTATAAAATACCTAGTAAGTTATTAACATCTGTAGTAATACAAAATAAGAGTAATCAAATTTCACACTTCAAGAAAAAATGATCAACCATAAGTATCATATAACCTGTAAGTAGGAAACTGAATTTGATAGACAAATGCACTGATCTTGCACAGTTAAACTGATCGTTCCTATACGTATAATAACCATTCCAAAGAATATCCTTTTTAAATTAAAGTTAGAAAGAACACAGCTATCCTTAAGTATTTTTAAACAAATATAAAATAACAACTTAACTTTTTAGAGACTATTTTTCTGTAAAAACAACAACAAATGTCTTTTGGTACTACTTTCTCAGGGAACATAAGTTATTTTGAAATCTCCATTTTTTTGGGTATCTGATCACAGGAACTTACCAAGAGAATTCATTTTACAATCTATATTTAATTTTTCACCTTACATTTCTGAACTGGCATCCCAGCATTATAATTTATTGGAAATGCCCAACTACCAGAGGATGGATGAGGCTTTTTAAAAGCAATTACTAGAAGTATTTAGAGGATAGGATGTAGCAATAATAGACAACTTAACTACCCAGATATCTATTGGAAAAGAAATGCAGCAGGACACAAATTGGAATGCTAATTCTTGGTTTACGACAAGGACAATTTCTTTAAGATAACTTAGTCAATGGGATAGTGTGGCCACATAGATTTGATTCCAAGTTAAAGTAACAGATTGAGAATCTGAAGGGGAAATATAATTTTGGTGCAAGTGATTAAATGAGTTCACAATTCTAAGGAAAGGAAAGAGCAGAACATTAAAACCAATGGACTTCAAAAAACAGACTTTAGAAAACTCATGGAGAGGCACCTACTGAAATTGTGATTTTGTACAAAACACAGTATCTGGCACTGACCGCAAAATTCGGTCATGTCCATGAAATCCAAGGGGGAAAAATAAATCCTACTGAAAATAAAATGCTGGCTCCCCAGAGTAGCCAGCAGTCCTCGCAGTGCTGCAACCTAGCTGTGCAGCCTGCCTGGGTAGGAGGAAGGGGAGGAAAGAAACAAGGATGCCAGAACAAAGGGGAGCCCAAAATGGCTGTCACCCCCCACCCCTCACTGCTGGCTGGCTGAGGGGGCTGCCTGTCATGTGGCCCCACCCCTCCCCACCAATCAGCAGCAAGGGGTGGGGCCACATGACAGGCAGCCCTTGCTACCAATCAGCAGCAAGGGGCAGGGCTGCATGAGGACAGCCCTCAGCACCCCACCACGATCAGCCTACAAAAATGGCGGCCAGCCCCGCAATCTCCCTGCGAAATTGGCTGGCTGCCTACTTGAGTTGGGTAGACACCTACTCATGGAACTGCATAAATAAGACATCTTGGGAAGAAAATCTAAGAGGGGGAAAAAAGCATAGGAGAACTTGAAGCTACTGAAGACACAGTATTAAATGCACAATGCAAATTATCACAGTATAGAAGAAAGATGTTCTACAACAACCTAAAAATAAAAAAATGAATTACAGAAATAGTGATTACAAATACACATGAGCAAGGGTGACCATCAACTCAGAAAGGTTAAGATTCAAGATCCCTGACACGATCATTTAAAGATGCAATGGGATTTGATGCCGGATCCTACCAGTCACACTTCCTGCCGCACCACACGTGCATGGCAGTACACATGATTAGGGGATTGGGATGAGATCTTCATAACACCATTACTACTTCCCAGTGCAGGGGGAGTTCAGGATCATTAAATTTGAAAGCGGGTGCCCACAGCCCAGCATGAACTATACAGTCCTAGGGCTGGGACCAACAGTCAGCTGATGATTGGGACCATACTGGAGTTACTTTAAGACTCCAGTGCAATTCTGGAGCTGGGACCAAGCATCAGCTGACAGTAAATCCCAGCCCAACAACCACACTGGAGCCAATCTGACATGCCAGGGTAGTCCTGGGACCAGCAATGAGCTGATCAGGGGACTCCTGCCAGTACCCCTCACTCCTAACCTGCAGCTCCCTGTCTCCGGTGGTGCCCCTCAATCCTGTCCCACAGACCCTCACATCCCCCGCAGTCCTGCTGGTGCCCCTCATGCCCAGCCCACTGCTTTCTGTTGGCACTGAATTCAGATCCAGCCTCTACACCTTTGTTCTGGGTGAGCACAACCCTCAGACCAACCACAACATCTGCCAGTTGATGATAGGCAAATGTATTGATACAGAGTGATACCAAAAAAGCAATACAAACAATCAAACAATTCTGTATTTACCCATCCTAAGGCTATCATCAGAGTCAAAATACATCTGGTCAGGATGCAGGCTCTACTCTGAGGCTCTCTCTCTTAGGTGTCAGCAGTCTGGATGTGGGTTGCCAAGGCCAACAGCAACCCTTCCAGTGGGGTGCATGAGATGGGCTGCTGGTATGCCCTCAGTCCATGGTGGTCTCAGGGACCCTTCCCTAGGGGATGGGGACAGGGACCCCTCTCAGGGAACAGGACAGGGAGGGACTCTTCGTTAATCTCAAGTCTCTGCTTTTGTATTCTCCTTCCCCCTTGATGACTCTTCATCCGTGGCTATCTCTGGTTGGTTCCTCTGTGTGGTCACATGTCCACGTAGCTTTTTAGGCCTTCTCTTAATTTCATTTGTTCCCCCAATACTGGGACTTAGCACCCCCTGTTGCTCTGGGGCCTTGTAGCTCGTGTCACTTATCTTCTGTTATGGGACAGCATGGTACATACTTCTTTGGTTCCCACGCTGTGTGTCCTTGTGTTAGACAACCGGTCTGCCTTGAAGGCTGTGATTTCATGTTATGGCATGCCCCCTTCATCTCTCAGGCTGTGTCCATCCACTGGCCTTGTTGTGCTAGACAGCCCATCTGCTTTCAGGGCCATGAGAAACTGAGTGAGTCTCCCAAGCTCTTTAGAAATCCATTTAACCCCTGTTGTTTATCTTGAACCCTTATAATGCATATACCTATATCTATAAGCCAATTCCCAAAAAACAGACCTTTAAATATCGTTTTTAAGCCAACACCCTCCACCCCCAGCATAGGGGCAGGGGGGGCGCCCAACCAAAGACAACACATCAGGCAGGCATAGAGGGGCATTTGCTCCCCTAGATGTGTGTGCTTACAGCAGGGCATGGGGCTGCAGCCTGGCCAGACCAGCACAAGCAGAAGCCCTCTCTGTGGCCCAATGGGCAGGACCCAGCATGGGAAGGTGGAGTGGGGCAGCAACCCTCTTGCACTGCTGGCAGTGTGGCAGCAGTGAAGAAGTAATGGACCGGGGTGGAGAGAAAGTGTTGCCCTTATCTCCTACTGCTGCCAGCTGCTTGAGCGCTGAGCTGTGGTTCTACTGTGCTCCCATGGGCTAGTCACTGCTGCCACTCCCCTCAGTCCACCTGCACTGCCCCCCCACCCCACTTCCCTCCATGAAAAAGCTGCAGCCCAGTGTGCAAGCAGCTAGTGATGGGAGGAAGTGAGGGCAGCACAGCTCCCACCCCGCCATCTGTTACTCCTTGCACTGTTGGCACAGCTGTCACAGTGGTTCTGGCAGTGGAAGCAGCAAGTCTTGCCACCCGGCTCTACCAGGTCCTGCCCACTGGGCTGGTTTGGCCAGGCTGCAGCCCCATGCCCACTGTGGGAGTAGAAATCTGGCAAGCAGGGCACTGCGACAGGGACTTGTCCCCCCGCCTCCCCCATGCCTGCTCAACTCATTGCCTACTCCCCCTCCCATACTTACTTGTGGGGAGCTGCGGGAGCTGCTCTCCACCATGCTGCCTGGCTGCCACATACATATGTGCAAGTGCATACGTGTATGTGATGCCCCCTGCCTATCATCATTCTCTTCCCTCTCCTCCAGCCCTAAAAATTCAGTGGTTTCCCACATTTTTCTCCTTTAACAGAAAAAAAAAAAATCAGTGTTTTTCAGCAGCAAATGGAAAACCTGGATTCTTGGTCATGAGGAGCCCCACAGCTTCCCATGACCTGGCACTCTGGCCCAACTGATAAGCTCCCCTCTGGTAGCCTATAAACCTCAGCATCTCCAGCCTTGTGCTTAAAAGTTGCACATACTCAGCAGCATTTGGTTCACGAAGGCTCCAGAAAGCCTGAACTACTGAACTGTATCCTTCTTTCTGAACTTTGAGCATGCTCAGTTGGCAGAGAGGTGATAAATAGATTTGGCACCAAAGCTGCAAAAGACATGAAAGCACACCTTCTAAGGTGACTGGTACCATGACTGGATAAAGCTTGAGAGAGTGATAAATGTGTATTCAAGTTATGACTGCCAAGTGCATCTGTTGGTTGGAGAAATGACTGACAGCCCCTAGGAGTTTGATTGGTTTAGAAATATGGTGCAATTAAAAGTTATAAAAGGGACCAGATCTGAGGGATCTGTCTCTCCTGCAAAATGAGTGTGTTCCCTGTGTGCATGACTGTGTGCCTGGAGTGCCTGAGGCAAGAAGGCCCAGAGTAGCCATGAGCTGTGGCGTAGTCCAGTGGCAGGGAATCATCTCCTGTGGAATGAATGGGCTCCTTGCATGTGGGTGCTAGTGAGTGTGTGTTTGGAGTGCTGTGGCTAGAAAGCCTGGGAGGCCAGAGGCCAACATGGTCCAGCATGTGATTGTACCTTGTATGCTTGGTGAGAGTGTTCCAGAAGATCGGTGGGCTGGTTGAGCTACAGTGAGTGACTACCCCACACACGCATGAGTGAAGGCCTGGGAGGCCAAAGCTCTTCTCCATATGTTTGAGGGTGTGTACACAGAGTGAGGGTCTGGGGGGGAACCAATACCTCTGTAGCGTGTGGATTTACTTAAGTGGTGTTGTCTGCAGTGAATGTTTGCTGCTGGTGAGAGATGGATATTGCTCTGTAGCACCCTCAGTTGGATCTACCATTGGCACTGTTGTTTGTTATTGTTGATATTGGGATGCTGTTATTGCATATATTGTTTGTTGTTGAATATAGTCATTGTTGTTACTCCTCTATCTTGTGTTGGCATCGAGTCGCTAATTAATGATATTCTGCTAACTAGAGTCAGGCAGCAGGCTTATGGTTAGTGAGGGTTGAGGCTCCACCTCTTTCACAGTGGGATCCTTTAATTGGGATTAACAACTCTATTTGCATAATTAAGGATATTTGCTTGTTCAATACCTCAACTCAGCACCCTGAAAACAGCAGGCATTCAGCAGGCATGGCAGAAGCCCTGCCACATGTTCATTTCAAGGCACAGTGAAATCCAACCACAAAAATTACAAATTTTGTGGCATAATTTTGTGGCTGGTTTCTCATTTTGTTGCACCATTAATTGCCTGAACACATAGTGGGTTACTATTTAAGACATGATTAAATGGTTAACCACATTTTTAAATATAATGTCTGCTAAGGGCCTAAACAAGTTAAAACCAGCAAAAGGTAAAAAAAGCCAATACAGAAATATTCTAGAAATATCAAAAGAGGAACACAAAGAAATAAATGGCAAAAAAGACACCAAGACAGACAGTCAAAAAATCTTTGATTTCTCTTTAAAAAACTCATAAATGACAGGGGAAGTCCCAGGCACCTAGACTAGAGAAAACACTGGACCATCTTTAAAAGGAAGGGAAAATGGAGGATCCTGAGAATTATAGACCAGTCAGCCTAACTTTGCTATCCAGGAAAAAGAAATTGGCTTAGTATAAAAAGAATTAAAGGGAAAACATGATAGTAAGTCTTAAAAGGATATTGATTAATTATTTGCCATGTCCATTAGGGTATGACAGAAACAGACTCTGCAGCAAAAGTGACTTAGGTTTGATATTTAAGGGGGGAAAAAAATCTATAAAAGATACTAACTGCTGGAACAAGCCGCCTAGGGATGCCATGGTACACTCTTTATTGGTAGTTCTTAAGAGTGGGTTTTAGACCAGCAGTCAGCAACCTTTTCAGGCTGTGGGCCAAAGCGATCCCATTCAGGTCAGAGGCACGCACTGGAGTGGATGCTACAACCCAGTTGCTGTCACTACTTCCCCCAGGGCAGCACAGAGAAAGCGTGTGCCACTGCTATGGCTTTTCTTACATTCAGTCAAAGTCCTCTACAGCTGAATGCCTCCAAAGCTCCATATCTGTGGGCCAGATTAAATGCCTCTGCAGGCTAGATCCAGCCCAGAGGCCATAGGCTGTCAACATCTGTTTTAGACAAACTTCTGTCAGGGATGGCCTAGGTATACTTATGTTGCCTCAAGACTAGAATCTTGAGGGCCTTTCAAGCCATCCATTCTTGTGATTCTATGCACCGTGCAAATGTAGAATACATGTAAATCAGTACATTATCATTTCAAAAAACAAGGTTAAGTCTTTGCCCAATTTTACTTACTTTAGCTCCAACACTGCAACTTCCAGTACTACCAGTGCTGCCACTCACTACTCCTGTAAATCTGGCCTCTAACAATTCTTGTCTTCTTGGGTCCAGGCTATGAAGCTCATCCATTGCACCTATGGAAAATAATTTTAAATTAGTCATATTCTATGACAAACATATTTGCCACAGAATATTTCCAATATTTTCTAATTTGAGCAACAAAATTTCACTGTACATTTTAACTGGACAGTCCCTTGAGCATAGAAGATTAATACTGAATTTGATAGCAGTTTGTTTTCTATTATGCAATGACTTGTAAATGCTGAATCCAATCAAGTCCAAAGTTTCAGTGAACATTATGGCCATCTATTCATTGCGACTGCAGGTGACAAGACAAGGAACAATCTCTAGCAAGCGAAACTTAGGTTGGATATTTGGAAGAATGTTGTTGCTATGAGGGTATTTAAGCATTGGAACAAGCTATCAGGTGGTTGTAGAATCTCCATCCTTGGAAGTTTTTAAGAGCAGGTTAAACAGACCTTTGAATGGGATGGTTCAGTCAAGAATGATCCTGCCTGTAACACTGTTAGACTAAATGACTTCCTGAGGTCCTTTCCAGCCCTACTTTTCTATGATATTAAGAGACAAACCCCAGCTGGTTTCAGTACAAATCAGAAAACTGCAAAAGGTAAATAGGGGACAAATGCAACCCCTCACATCTTGGTTACAGACCAACTTCTTTAAACACCTCTTGTAATTGTCTATAGATAAAACAGCAGGCAGGTGGAAATAGAGCTGTAACCAGAGGCCCTGCTACAGAGAAAAGGAGGCACACAGAACCCAAGGAAGCAGGAAGCCCTTATTATAGAGGAATAGTCCATGGCCTGGGGAGAGGAGTACATATGTGATAAACCCAGAACTCCAGATACATGGTAGACGAAAAACTGAAGGGCCATAGAGTCCTATGGATTTGCAGATGAAAAAAAGAATTGGAGCACATATTGCTCCTGGCACAAATGGAAGGGGATGGTTAGATTGCAGGAGGTCCCTAAAATAGAATGGAGAAGGGAAGGTGGCATGCACAAAACTTGTAGGGGAAAAAGCAGAGGTATGAAAAGAATCCTGGTTTGTGCAATGAGCTTAACCTATAAAACCAACATGTGTGGTCTTCTAGCTTGCATTAGAAAAAACTAGGGGTAGGCACCAATAGAGGATTTTTTTTTGCTGACAACGATGGCTGATTTTTAAGGAGCCATATCGGTTGATACCAATTTAATACCAATATGCAGCCAGGCAGCTTGAAGACGAGCATTGGACTGATAAGTCTAGTGTGGGGAAAGGAGCACGGGGAGAGAAGGGGCATGGGGGGAAGGAAGGAGAGGCAGGTTGAGGCTCCTGTGGTGACAGAGGGAGTAGGGCTGGGGCCTGTGCTACTCAGCTGGGGCAGGGCACAGGATGGAGCCAGAGCTCGTCCAGGGGGTGTGGCTCCTGCCCTGCATCCTGGGAGGGTATGGGGGGGCATGCACTCCCAGATCTGCATGGGGTGGGGTAGGGTGGGGCGAGGCACAGCATGGCAAGATGACGCTGTGGGCTGGGGCTAGGGCTGTGCTGGGTTCTTCCTGGCAGGGGCTGGGCCAGGCTGTGCTGCTCTCAGGGCAGGCAGCAGGACTATGGGGGTG